AGAGAGAGAGAGAGAGAGAGAGAGAGAGAGAGAGAGAGAGAGAGAATATATAAATGGGTATCCTGGGACAGGGGACACAAAAGGACTGGGGCTACAGCACTGGAGGAATACCATGCAGAAGAAAATGAGTTCAGAAAAAGGCATGGAGAAAAGGGTCATTGCACTACTAGTACCACTGATGTTGCACTAGCATAAAGCAACATTTGTGCCGTGTCAACCATAGTTGCTACCATAACAGGAAACTTGCTGGCATGACAGCAAAAAGAGGTTATTTTCTTTTAAAAACAAGGCACAGAGGAAACACGCACATTGTTTCCAAGCAAAAGTGCACTCCTGGAAGCTTCTCCAGTGCATTATTTTTCTTATAAACAAGTGCATACTTCTTCGTCTTTTATTAACAACTCATTTGTTTCTTCACATGTAAACGAATTTCTTCAGTGCAGCATTTTTTCACGTCAACACTGATCATATGGAAGAATCCATTTCCATTTGGGTGCTGTGTGACTTTTAATTCTATGAATCTTGGAATGATAATGCTCAGTTTTGGTTATATTTGCATTACATTTTCTGATAATCTCCATATTTATAGATTCATTTTCCTCTGTTTCTCAGAACTATTCAGGAAGGCTAGTAGAACACTCTCATCCTCATTTACCAGCTTCTGCTATTTTGTAGTTCATCTTAATTTTAATTCAAACAAATAATTTGAGTAGCACCGCTCTACTTAACTTCTTGTTTAAATATTACTCATTCTGATTGGTATGAAACTGCTTTTCTGTTTTATTTTTATTTTGCTCTTTTAATTTGTATTTTCCTCTCTCTGAAAGAGAAAATGTCTATATTATGAGAAAAAGTCAAGAAGTGGAGATGGATGTCCTCAATCCTGCTTTCAAAAATTATTTGTTGTCCCTTTTGTTTGTTGTCCTCGATCCTGCTTTCAAAAATTATTTTTGTAACTTTCTTTCACAAAGAACAAAACTGTGAGGAAGATATATTGTCAGTGAACAGGAAGTCTCAATGAGAGAACAATCCTGAAAGTAGACTGAGAAGGAAGTTGGCAGATCAGCCTTTTGTGAACAGTAATGCCAGACTTACTCTAATAACACGACTGTACTTAGAAATTGTCTAATATTTATTGTTTCTGCAGGCACACTTCATGCACTCCAGTTCAGGCTACCATGCCAAATTGCTCTAGGAAGCACATCCGTTGCCCAAAAGACCAAAAGCAGGGAGGCCTTACATCATGTGAGAGAGAACACACTGGCCAGTGCTCCTGTCTGGCTTGTGGAGTCTCCACAAGGATAAAGTTTCCCTCTGGCTCCAGGTGACAAAGAATATTCCACTCTTGAGGTCTCCAACAAGATGCCCGTGGGCTACCATGTTCATGCAGACACCTCCCTAGGCATGCATGAGGCTCCCAGCCCTGTCCTGATTTTATCTCGTAAGATTAAAAGAATCCACATACCTTCATTCCCAAGTTTTGCATGCTGCAAAGTGCTGCTCTCTAGTATAAGAGTGGTTTTGTGTTTTGGAGTGGATAGCCTAGCTCAGCCTCATATTTAGGTCTAAAAGTTGCTTTTCTTTTGATCTCACCATTCTGCCTTCCGGGGAGTGCCATGCAACCAGACATGTCCCTGCTATGATAGCCATGTCATCAATAACTTCTCCGCAAACCATTTATTTTGTGAGCACCCATGATATTCCAAATACTCGCATAGTCACTGATCCAAAAACGCTGGGGACTCCTGCTCCACTCGTTGCTGGGTTCCCTGGGACTACAGAACTGAAACAAACCCCATTCTGGGCTCATCCATTACCCAGAGAACTGAAGTCTCTTGTGTTGTATGGAGAGCGGTTTTGCAGTATTGCCACCTGTTGAAAGCAGACCTGGGTACTTGATCCAGACATGTATGGAATATTTGAAGATTTCAAGACAGCATTGACTAAATACAGAAGGAAGAGCAGGAATGGATGGTTTAATCTAAGTTATGGCACCACCTTGTGGTGACAGTAAGAATTCTCTATTACAAAGGTAAATGCAGAAAGTTCCTCAGTTTCTGGAGAGATGCCCTAAATTGGGATATTGGCTCCCAAAGGCAGCAAAATCCCTTTCTGGGATAAAAAATAAACATCCAATTAAAGTTAATGGGTGAAACTAGAGATCAAATCTTTGTAAACTATTACTATTCAACATAAATGCATCTGCTTTTATTCATCTTTCAGAGGTTGTCATCCCATGCATGGCATAAGGTGTTTCTCCAAACCAAAATGTCTTCATAATGTCTGGCTAGGGATCCCCTAAAGGACTCAGTGACTTTCAGAGTTATTCAGAAAATTTCAGTGTTCACATTCAGTTATCTATTTGAGCCAAATATGCCCTAAATTGCCCTTGGGGTTTCAAGAAATCCGTATCTTTTATCTGACAAATAATTATAAAACAGAGGGGGAGGGAAGGTGGGGAAAAGGGCAAACTCTAAAAAACTTGAATTGCTGAATTGTATAACTTTTAAGAAACAGGGAAGTAAACTTCCTAGGCATAACTTAGAATCTGAATGAGTCTGACCTAAGTCCTTGACCATTATTTCTTAAGAATATTGACCAGTCAGGCTTCATTACTTCAACATCAAGTCAGCCTTTTCCTCCCACACCCTTCTCTTCGCTGCTTCTTTAAACATTGAGCTGATGAGATCTGGAGATCTTGAAAGTTTGCCCAACATTGTACTATTTGATTAATCTCAGTAAAGGTATTGTTTGACCATGATTCAGGAATTCAGAATGAAATTATATGTGAACATCATCATCCAGAGAAAACACAATCACTTAAATCAACAGTTCAAAAAGGCCTGATTTTGCTAAAGATGGCAAATATTCGAATTCACTGCAAGCTGTAAGCAGATTTAGAGTGCCATCCAGCGCGGCTGCCCCCAAGTTACCAAATTTAGCAGATTATGGGCATCTAATAGAGAAGCTGCAGCTAGAAAGAAGATCCCAATGTAACCCATGGCCATCTGGACAGGATCAAACAGCTGTAGAATTGTGCTGTAAATAATACCCACTGCAAGAATAATAGATTTGTAAATATGCCCAAGTAAATGTTATCTATTGGGTGAATTCAGTAATTCAACTCAATCAAGAACCATGTTTTGCCATTTCATTAGAATCTGAATATACCAAGAAATCAGGATGAGTGTGAGCACTATAAACACAGAGAGAAGGTTCAATATTTTAAACTTTATTTTTCATGGGTAACATCCAGAGCCTCTTAAAGAGGCAGGAGCTGTAGGGCAATTACATTTTTCATACTCTATCACATCCCATAGATAGGCTGGGCAGAGTTACAATAAAGCACAAGGTTCATGTTGCATAAAACATGGTTTATACAGCATCTGGACATACAAACAAATCATATTCAATACAGTTATTTATCCATAATATTGAACTATATTTTAGCATATTCATGCAAACAAACTGTTGCTTTGGCTCTTAAAGCACTGACATTTCACAAAACTTCCCTCCTTGCTGCATTTCTCATTTCAAATGAAGTATGCACAATACTTCAGAAAACAACTACTAAACACATATTAAAGCATGGATTTTTAAACATTTCAAAAAGGTAACAGGCTCTCTATTACATTTTTGTCAGCTAAAATAAAAGGGCAGCAAGTCAAATGGACATTGCCCATCTATCTTCACAAATTTTGGTCTTGAATGCATCTACAATCCAGTATTAAAACATTGTTTTCACTGCACACAGTTTCTGTTTTATATCCCCGGAATTTTCCAGGCCAGATGAAAACAGGGAACGTTTAACTTGGGCCTAGGTTCATAACTCATACACTCAGTGGGTAACGAAATATATTTTCACAATCTTCTGAATATGGGGTTAAGGACCTACAGTCTGAACACAAAGAAGCATCCTACAGATATATTCCTTCTCTAACATAGGTTTTGTTAAACAAAGCATAGGTTTTATTAGACAAAACAGCAGCATCTGTGTTAATGATAAAAGATATGTTAACCTAGGGTGGAGGATGCTCTTAAGAAATTGTGTTCTCCGATTTGAATCTATTAAGTCTTATAGTTCAAAACTACTAGGAATGTTATTTAATGTTTTTCATGATCGTTCTGCTGTAGTGTAATTACTTCTCCCCAAAGAGTTTGACAGTTCCTAATGTTAGATGCTCTTCACAATTTACACTGTTCAGTACAGTATCAATATAAATTTGCAGGACTATTAAAAAACCCTTTCACATACATAGATCACAGACATTTTTAAGAACCATCCTGTATTTTGAGCCCCCAATTTCAGTTTTGCCATTTATAGTATTCAAGTCAAGACCTATTTCATGTTCACCTGAATTCACTTAAGGAAAACTGCAGTAGTGGTGGGGAGAGATAAGCAGGAGCAGATGCACAAGTCTCCAAGGGACTCAAAGTAATCTTACTTGACACTTTGGTAAACTTTCCCTGTAAATCTGACATCTACTATAGCAAAGTACCATCAAATGTTGAAAGACTCTAGCCCACTGGGACTCAAGAGTGTATTCATTACAGGAAATAAAATACAAATAATTTGCCACTATTTGCACTCTAATGCTCTGGATTCTTATCTTTTCAAAACGAAGTCCTGAAAATTCCATAGCTAAAGTATAATTTATCTAGAAAGGGATATGGGTTTATTTCAAGTTTATCTATAATAAATGGAAAGGCAGTATGTCTGTAGCAATTAAAGTTGCTAAAAAGCATAGGCTGTGCTTTCCTGGCATTAGCCAGACAGCTCCTATACACATGCAAGCGTGTGCTCCCAAATATTGAGCTTGTAGGAAGAGAGAATCTTTCATAATCTAAGGTGCTTTCACATGGTTTAGTTGTATGGTTCAAAAGTGCAAAAATAAATAAATGCATAACTCCACAGCTCTAAGAACCTCAACCTTCTGCCGGGCTGCCGATTTATACTGGAACATGAAACAACGGGCCATTCACTGAACAGGCAGTTAGAGAGAAATAGCAAAGATAAATTCCACCTCCCAAACTTCCCTTTTCAAGATGACTACAGCTTTCAAATTCTTCAGTTAAGTAGATGTGCCAAAACATTTAAGTTTCAATAGTGTAACCAAGATACATTTCCATTTGTACAGCCATGCTTTTTATACAAGCATCCTGAAAGCTGACATCATCTTTCATGTGCCATGATTGCAAGGAAATAATGGTAATCTGGGTGCCTTTGGAATTGCTCAATGGCCAGAAACAGCTGATCAGATATCCGAGAGCAGAGTTAACTGGAGTTAGCACAGTCCACCAGCATATTCGTCATCTTCCTCATTTCCATGAGAAGCTGCTACAGCTGGTCCACCTGCCTTCCCTTGTGGAGTAACTGGGGATTTCTTCTTTACACCACCTCCTGGGACAGTCAATGAGAGACCAAGCTTTGCATACTGGCAAAGAACAAGAACAACAAGATGTTTGTATTTCTTGTATTAGTTATTTATATATAGTTACATAAAAGCATTTAAATCAAGATAAGTTTCCAACATAACAACTGAACGGTAAATGACAACATTAGTCTAATAAAAACTGTTTGCCTGCATCTTACCATGCATCTCATCTGTACAATGTGTAATTGCCCTTGAAAGAATACTGTAATATTACACTAAACGTACAGGTGCTACACTGGATGGAGTCCATAGGTCTGTGAGCAAAGTTCTGCTAACTGATTCTTGGTTCTACAAACCAATGGGCAGGAATGTGTAATGGTTTACAAACAGGATATACAAGCCAGCTTTAAACTATGGCTTCATCTTTGTTCTTGTTTGGAAACTACTGAGCACAGTTTCTCAGTGTGGATATAATGCGAAACTATGGTTGTAACTAACTTGCTGTTCCAATGTACATTTGAAGACAGAAGCAAAGCGACTGCAGAAGGCCTGAGATTATTATGCAAGATTTGATTGTTCAAACAAAGCCACAAAGTTCCAAATAGTCCTAACATAATTTAAGTATTACAACCAAATGTGTTCCATAGTTCAGGACTTTGGAATGCCTTACTATCTCAAATACAAATTGTTTCATTAAGGATCGGCACTTGAAAAATGTCTGCGGCAACAAATGACACAAAAGAAATCCCTTCCAATTTCTTTTCTTAGACCAATGGAACATTGTATCTTCTTTGCTCATTTTGTTCATCAACAGCGGCTACTACCTCATTCCTTCAATTACACAGTAGGACCAAACTTAATAGTTTCAAGTGATTTCACAGTTATAGACTCCAGGCAGACCTTTCAAAATCCTCCCAAGGCAACATTACAATTTTGAGAAAAAGTAATGAAAAACTGCTATCTATTTTCCACAAGGTCATTCATCAACATGATCACAAACCATGCAAGACAAAGTCCATCTCCGCAGCATTAAATCAACACTAAACCAACATACATCAGCCAGTCTTGTTACAGCAGGAAAATGTCCCCCAAAAAGTTGAAGAACAAAGCAAGAGGACATTTGAGTGCCCAGAATCCATTCCAGCTTGACAGAGTATCATAATGGGACAGGAAATTGCTACATTGAAGTAGAGTATTGTAATGCAGTACTAGTTAGTGTTAAATATTATCTATCAAGGGCACAGTGGTTAGCATCGTTTTTATCCTGTTCACAAAAACAAAAGCTGTTTCTTTCAATGAAAAAAATCTCAGTTTGTGCTACAAGTTGTTCAGAAAATCAAAGGCACCAACTTACATCATTGTCCATGTATTTAAAGAGTGGTGAATTGCACACATCTGATACCTGGTCCTGGTCTTGCTGATCATACCCCTCTAGAAGTTGTTCCAAAGCTGCATAGTCTTCACTTTCTGTGAAGCCTGGTATGCTGAAGTGAGGGAAACAACATTAAAAATCAGTTCACTCAGGGTTCAGTTACCACATTTCCAAACAAAGAAAGGGAAGGTGCAGAATTAGAACTTAGACTTGGGCACCCAAAAGGCTACCTTCTACTACATGCTTCATCTGGACTACTCTTAGTCCACTCCAACTTGAAATTAGATGGTTGACGACCAGGAAGAAAGCCTGTTTAATTCTTTCTAAAGAGGTTCACATAAAACTAGCTGTGATATTTTTATTCACATATTCTAGCATCTAATGTTCATTTTGTGACTGAAGCCTTGATTGTGCTATGTAAGCACTAATTATGAATTTATATAATGTTTTATAATTATTATTGTATATTGTCCATAGTTTAACCTACAGGATGGCCTAGAAGTCTGTTAATTAAACATTAAAACTAAATAAATTTGGTTCAGACAACTTTAAGCCAACAAATGATTTGCCCAATTATACATGTCTATAAATTAATATCAAGACAGATTAATTTATTCTCAAGCCTTTAAAAGCGACAAGGTTTTCAACAAAGTTTGTCTCATACTTTTATTCTTTTTAGAATAGCTCCAAGGAAATGAGTAAACCAAGTCCTATTCATTTCAATGAGTCTACTCCCAGTAGATTAGATACATAAGATACAATTCAGTATTTCCCAAAATCATGACTTATTGGAGAACCCTGAATTTAGCATTACCCTGACATGAAATATACACAAATACAGATGTGCTGCATTTCTGCATAACAAAGGTCATATGGGCTACAACCATATTTTGTAAATTGAACAGCAATCAGGCAGATAAATGACTTACCTATAGCTTTCCCTGACACATTTTTCTGCAGCAACGTAGTCATTTCTGTGAAGATGAACTAAGACCTGAGCAATTGTTTTCTAAAAGAGAGGGGGGAAAACTGATGATTCTCGTAACATGTCTGTAATCCATTTTTTACAGTTCAGCTAGTTAACACAAGGAAAAACCCATTTCTATCAAAGAGAGGAGCACAGCAACTAACAACAAACCAAGCAACCCTCTTCTTCTAAGAATAGTTTTTTTAAAAGGCATACACCAGAATAGAGACTTTCTTGGGTAGCTAAGGATTATCAGCTCTCTCAGAAATAGCAACCAGATAGCTGGACACTGCATAAATTTGTAGATTTGGAGCCTTAATGTTCAAATAACTTTTCACAATTGTTCTGAACCTACCAAAGCCAAAAGAAAAAGGCTCCAAACATCTGAATACTACTTAATTCATTTCAAGTAGCTTGCTTACACCCAATACACATTTAGTACAATGTCTATACAGTGATCATGGCAACACAGAGCTAGACTTCCAATCAAGACAAGGTAGCTTCTTTTTTTTTTTTTTTTTTAATTGGCTGCCATTTCCTAATCACCTGCCCAAAGGCACAGCTTTTGGTGTTATCCAAACATGGGTGGCATGGTCAATTTGACAGGGAAACAACTCTTAACTTATCCTATAATATGGTGTGTGTTATTGGATGGTTGCCACAGTGAATTATTTGGTTGTGTGACCTGACACAGTACTTGTGGCTGAAAAAAGACAGACTGTGTTTACACATCATGCTAAGTCATCCTGTGAAGGAGCCATGGCAGCCACATGCACTCACATCAGCATCATTTGAGTTTTGGAATCGCAATACAAACAGTATTTTATGCCACGCTTAGTAAGGTTTGGTAAAATACACTATCATTTAGGGCTCCCACAGCATGGCATTATTGTTTTATCAACTTTATTATTCTAATATGGCACAAACCATTGAGCGAGAGTCTCACAGTCATGGTCAAGATGATTCCCAAAAGCAGAATAAGTAAGGACTGCTAAATATGAACTCAGCAAATAGTCCAAATAGGAAAAAATAACAGTTTTGCTGGGTGAGGAGAAAAAATAGAGGCAAAGGGAGTAACTTGCCTACTATGAAAATACTCAAAATATTCTTTTCAGCATTTATGGGCCTTTTTCACAACAAATGGAAAGATAAGGTTTTGTTCTAAGCCTCTTGTTTTTTAAAACTTGCAGTTACTTTAGCACATTATGTGCATGGCTTATAGTGCAGTCATTTCAGCAGGGGTAAGTTAAGTTCAAAGTGCTGAGAACACATCAACTTTTCACTGGACTGCGGGTGGGGGGCGATGTGAGGAGAAGCAGCCCACTTCACGGCCATTCAAACCTCATCAGTAATGAGAGTCTTCTGGAATTTTTTATAATCACTCTATGGGAATACCCCAACTATTGATAGAGGGTTCAAAAGTATTCTAAAAATTAATAATATAAATCCCATAATCTGAACCCATTTTAAATCTTCCAGTTGCTTACAACTGCAGAGGCTGCAGAGACATAATGAATTCCAAACAGGCATTAATCTAATGCTGCTTAATTAAAAATGAACCACAATATAGAATAATTTAAAAGAAATACCAGTTCTCACACTAGCCAGAAACAGAAAAAGAGACCGAACTTTATACCTTGTAACACGTTGGATAATTTTCAATATCTTTATAAATACTTTTCTCTTTCTGAATAGATACTGCAGCCTCATCTAGTCTGCAAGACAAGAATGAACAGGAAAGGTACACTTAATGAAAATGTCTGGGAAAACCATCCTACCTAAATGTCTGCTTTCAAAGTGCTCAGCAACACAAAAGCCATTAGGTCCTTGTGGGCCAGTAGAACAACCCACAGTGAATGTAGAAATGCCAATCCAGGAACCACTTGCTTATAATGGCTCATACCAAAAATAATGGAAATGTCCACAAGCCAGACCAGATTTATGCAAAGAACAATTCATATTTGGATGACTGTTTCTAATACAACCAGTTGGACACTGCACCTAGTAGGATATAGTTGGTGTGCATTATTAAACATGACATATCAATTAGAAGAAATGTTTTTCCTCTGTGTACTTTAGTCATGTTAGCCCCAGTTCGGCATGAGCAACAGCGTGTCTTGTCTCCAAAACCCAGATTCAAAGGTCAGGCTATCTTTACTGCAGGAGAAATAGCCTGTTCATATTTTTTTAAACATGCTGAAAAATGAACTTCAGCACTACAGAGGAGGAAAATACCTGGCATTTCAATATCACACACAGTATATAATAATTTCTATACTTGTGAAGTAATTCTGGGGTAAGGAATAGCTTTGCACATTTTCACCTTTTTGCTGTTGTTTAGAAACATTCTGCTTGTGTGTTCTCGTTTTTAAGTTGTTTTTTTTTTAAAGATCCTGAAATAATATGCAACAGGAAGGAAGAAGGTTGTCATTTGACACTAATGATGCCACCATCCCTAACCAACTGTCACCCACAAGATTTGAGCAACCACATGCCATCAAGTAGTCACAGGAGATGTAGACAGAGTTATTGCTAGTCACATTATTTAAATGTTTCATGCCAAATAACTATAATGTTCTTCACAGTGCAGAGCTTTCTAAATTTATGCCGCACAGGTAACATGCACGAACTCGTTAGTAGCTGTGTACCTATTATGCAAAAGTTGCATCAGGTGGTAATGCATTCAGTAAGACTTTACTTTTTAAAAAGCAGGTTAAGATGCATACCTACGACTTCTGACTAAAAGCCTTGAAGCCTTCCCATACATTTCAACTGCTTGTCGCAAACGTTCTTCATTCTACACAAGGGAGAGGAAAAAACAGAAGTGTTTGCAAAAATTAAACATTTTATTGTCATGCAGATTCTGTCTGGATTACTGGGAGTAGGTCAGATTAATATGCATGGAGACTTTTATTATTTTTATTAAAATAAACTTTTAATAAAAGGTTCTCCAAGGTTTCAGTTTCATACACAGTTCTGTCAGCAGTAGAACATAAGTCATTGGTCACATTTGTACATCAAGCTAAATTAGTCAAATGAATAAACATAAGCAAGTATTGAGCTGCTATGCTTCCCAATCATCTCTCTTCCTGCATGGCCAGGAAAAGCCTGGAAGATTTTGCTTCCATTTTTGTTTAATCATGATTTGTCATTTCATGCACGTATTTCATGCATATTGTTCTTTCAAACAAACCAGCCACCATCAGCATGGTGTCCTCCAGATATTTTAAACTGCAGCTTCCTTTATCCCAGTCCATTGGCTATGTTTGCTGAGGCTACTGGGAGCTGCAATCCAAAACATCTGGAAGGAACCACAGTTTAAAAGAATATGGACTTTAAAGACAGTGAATGTACTTAACAATCAACCACTCCTGTAGCTTGATAGTACTATGCAAAAAAGGCACAATAAGAGCCAAGGAAAGTTTACTTCAGTCATGCCAATTAGCCCATTCAGTACTTATAAAAGGAGACAAGCAGCAAAAACTCATTTAATAAACACATACTTAGAGACTGTCCCAGCCCCGAAATGTCCACTCTTCTACAACAATGCTTAACTTATTTGCTTTTATTGTCGTTATTTGCTTTTATTTGCTTTGTCGTTATTTGCTTTTCGGCGCCAGGCCAAGACCTTTTTATTTAAACATCATTTTAATTGTAAACATTATTTATTGATTTTATATCTTTGGCCAGAATGTCTCCAATTATATTGTTTTATATGGTTAATGTTTATTTATTTATTGTGAGCTGCCCTGAGGCTTTGGCAAATAGGGCAGCATAGAAGCTTGCTAACTAACTAACTAACTGTTTTAAACAATATCTCCCGCCATTTCAGCCAAATCCGCTTCCTGGGAAACATATTTTCATTTCAGAAGACTTGCCTCAAACACTGATGCTGTCTGCTGATACAGCTGTATAGCCTTGTCTGGATTTATATTTTCTATTACCCTGAAATAAAAATGTAAACATCGTTATTTAACTTGATAAAGACAACCAGAAGAATCAACCTGCTTTTCCAGGTAAGAAATTAATGCTTTGAGATTACAGACATACTTCCCAGCCCGATCTAGAGCAATAGCTGCAGTGTCAGGCGTTCCATTCTCCAGGTACATCATGCTGGCTTTCTGAATCAGTTCCACTGCATCATGATGTTGCTGCATCTCCTGTGAGAGACAGGAAAAGGGCCAGGTTTACCAGGAAGAATGCTACATTAAGGTAGCCCAAATATTTTCATCTAGCCATCACAGTATCATGGGCTTGAAATTGTTAAAACTTTTTCTAAAGTTTGTCACTGATTATCAGTGGGTAATCTTTGGTTAAGAAAAGGAAACAAGCAAAGTGCAATGGAAATTCCAGCAGGATAGATCACTGATGACTATAGATAGTTTTTTGCATGCATGTATATTTGCTTGTTTGTTTTTAATTATTACTGTTTAACTTACATCTGAATGTGTGACCTAATTTGGCTGGAAAACAATGTTTGAGGTGATGTGAAAGCATTATTTGTGGTTGATCCAGCAAAGTCCTCCCACCATGGTTGGGGCAGATTCCCCCTGCTCCTCTGCAAATGTGCCCCAGAAGATGAGAAGCACTCTGGAACAGACTGTATGCATGAGGAGTGCTCAGGGAAAAGGAGAGATAACATGAAGTTGGCCTCTGCAATTCTGGATGAATCCAGAAAAACCTTACACAGTTGTCAATTAGCAAGAAGTAATTAAAAACACCTGAAGACTGCAATTCTCTAAGGCAAATGCAAATAGACATGTTGTGAGATTTTAAATACTAATGCAGTTCTACAGAGTTATACGAAAGCCTGCTGTTATCAATAGGCATAAGCCTATGCTGACGGCCAACAGATCTCCACTGCACGTTTAATGAACTATGAGATGAATACTACATAGGGTAAATATCCAAAATTGTCTTTTAATCAAAAGCCTTCATACAGAAAGTGTGAATGGAAAAGCACGTACTTTTAACATCATACCAGCTTGTTCATAAGCTCTGAAAAGAGGAAAAAAAGTGTTGAATCTAAGCAAATTATAGAAATATATCACGCTAAAGAATATAAATAGACATCTCAATACCAGCAAGAAGAATCAATTATGGCAACAGCATGCATCTTTTTCACATAATATATGGCATACAAGCAGATGCACAGATTACACATATCTGTTTTTGCTCCATATGGCCTGGTTTGATAATGAGAAAACTGCACAAGGATGTGAGTTTCTAAGACTTAGAGTTTCTAAGTCTGCTCTAAGTCTGCTCAGAGACTTAGAGTTTCTAAGTCTGCTGATGAGGAAAGGAATGAGCTCCATTTTCAGACAGCCACTTTATTTATTTATTTATACATACATACATACATACATACATTTATAAACAATATGTGAAAGGAGTCCTGGAAGCAAGGCCGAGATAAAAGTACTCTGGAGGTTTTCTAATAGTATCAAATCCATGCACATTCTGGCTTAACTGAGAACAGTGATATTTCCCAAATTTTCGACGATTTGATTCATTTTCCACAATGCTTGATATACTTTAGTGAGTTCAACTAAATATTTCCTTGTAAAGACTGCATCATTTCACCATTACTCACACAAGCTAATTTTTACATATATTGGGAAGTTTAGTAAATTAAAATGCTATTATACTTACTTTGCAGCATGGAAGAGACTGGATATGTTAATTCAGGTCAAGGACACAAACTATAAAGCTAAGAGTCTGTGACTGTCCCAAAGTCACACTGTGAGTTTCTTGGCCAAGTGGCGACTGGAAACTAGATCTCCCAGGTCCCCAGTCTAGCTCTCTAATAACCAACACAATAAGCGGGCTTTAAAAACAGCTCATACTCAAAGACACGAAGAAATGGGTCATGTACAGGCAAAATGTTTCATAGGCATCAAGTTAAACCTACTATATATATTTCAAAGCCAACATCAGGAGAACAAGTTTAAATATATTCACTGATGATTTAGAGAATTTTGTAATGATTTCTAGAGTTAGTTTGCAAACAACATTCCTTTCTGCATCATGACACACTATTTGTCAACTCACAGAATTTCAAAATGATTTTGGCTGCATCTAACATTCTGTGAGCAGCCTTCCACCAGCATCGTTGGACTGCCCTTGTCCCCAGCACCACCCCTAAATCTTCTCTAGTGGGTCTCCTAGCTGTAGCAAGGAGCAGGGAATATCTTCTGCCAGCACTAACCATTCATTCATTGCTTTGCCACAGAGCCACTAAGTCCCACTGGACACACAGAAGTTCACACTTCAAGACACTGTTACAATAGCAACTACGAGCCACATGCCATACAAGCAAACTGCTTCAGGTCTTCCCCATAGACCTGGAAAGAGAACATGATACTTAAATGTTTAACTAAAACCTTGGAAGCAATTAGTGCCATCTATGCAAACAGAGAACTCAAGTTTCCCATGACCATGCACAGTATTTTAAGAACTAACTCCAGTGGGAATTTGGCTGAGTAGTACTATCATTTAAAAAGATTTATTATATTTATTAGATGCCTTTCTCTAAAAGGAATCAAAGAAGTTTACAGCACAAGTTAAAACATACAGAAATCAAAACAATTTGAAACAGCTAAAAACAAATTAATTAAATGAAGATGTCTCACTGTATGCCGTAAAATGCCTGGGAGCAGAAGTCTTAACCTAGTGTTGAAAAGGTAACAATACTCATTCGAGGCAGACATCACTGAGGTGTGCATTCTACAGTCAGAGGGTCATCACTGAGAAGACTCTTTCCCTTGTTGCCATCCTCCAAAATTCCCTCTGATGCTGATCCTCATGTACACATGAGGTTCCTAATAGAGTACAGACTATTAAAAACCAGATTATTCCTGTCAAGTTAAGGGTGTCCTAGATCACTTACTGAAGCTGACAGGAGACAATCAGTGTCACTGAGATCACCTGAGTCTCCTGTGACAATTAATTAATTAATTTCATTTCTATACTGCCCAGAACCAATGATGATTCCAGGAGTACCTGCAGAATATGAAGCTGCTTGTTCAAAGGCAATGTAACCCCCTCCAGAACTCATGAAACACCATCTACACAGTCAGAAGAACTTCCCACTAATAGCATTTTGGCCTTAACTGACCTTACATTTGTTAACCCTCATCTTGTCTTTTGTTGGCACAGATCTAACATATTCACAGCTTCCCTGATATACATGAAAAGGAAAAACAGTTCCATGCCATCAACATACTGGTAATTCATTCAGAACTCTCAGTGGTCCATTCAATTGTTTCGCGGATATAAAATGGCACAGGACACCAAACTAATCCCTGTGAAATGTGATACTGATGAATCCATAGGGCCAAGTAATGTCTACCCAAAACCATGTTCTAGAGCAGAAGCAAAAGGTTAATATGGAAGATCATAATTTAAACATAAAAGGATATATTCTATGAACTCATCATCCAGATAAATATGAACAAAATTAACAAAAAGCATAGGTTTCAGCAATAAATACATTTTGATAAGTTAAATGAGCTTTATATTGTTGTGCAGTGACAAGCAAAATTTGCTCTCCAATTTCTGAAGTTATTAAAAATATTAAAATGTTATTTAAAAGTTATTACAATTAAAAATCCAGGAAAAAAATTAAAAAGCCTAGCCTGAATGCTCTATGGATGGGTCTACTGTACTCTAGAGCAAAACCATTAAAGCTGTATCTACTGGAACTTGGTTTACACAGAACTTGCATGTGTGAAATGAACACCGTTGAACACCCCCTCCCCATTTTTTTGAAGATGTCACATATACACATGGGAAACTTGTTATTCTAACGTTTTACCAAAAATACGGATGCATCACAAGCTTGGGCAAGCTTGAGTGAGTGGATGCAACTAGAATAGAATCTAAATGCATGAAATATACATACATCACATTCACATGTATTAGACTCCATATGGATGTGCTCCCCAACTGGATGGAACTCTACCTTGTTAGAGCCTATACTAAACTATCCCTACATATGACGACATACAATCATTGTAAGTCTTTAACAGGACAAAAAAGAAAAAGAAAGAAACAAGCACTCCAACATCAATTATATTTTCAATTGCTTATGAGAGAGGTAACAGTTAATGAAAAGATACGCTTTGTTGTTTTCATGGGACAGAGCTTCTCTATAGTATGCTTCTTTTGCCTGATCAAACTGTTTAGCATTTTTAAAGGCGACAGCTAGGGAAAAAAAAAGAATTGTTAAAACATATTGTGCATTATGCTTTGTATTTTCACTTGAATGTACCTCAGAAATAATAATTCCCAAGGAAGCTTTTAATAGATACATTTTTGTATTTATCATTTATTAGGATCACAATCCAGTGGCCACTAAATGATGCCTAGCAAGTCATATAATAGGTTAGCATCCCAGCTCCAACTTGGAAATGTGCTCCAAAGTTTCAGTTGAGACTCGGACCTCAGAAGACCTTTGCTTCATCCTTGCAGCCAATGCAGTTCTTTTCATGCTGGTTGTAGTTCCCACACTGGAAGATTGATCTGAAAACTGATGCCGAGTGGGCATTCCAGGGAGCAGGGAGTTCGTCAGGATACGATGTACCCTGAGTGCACTTCAGCCCAACCTCCTCACAAGCTGTAGCACAAGATTTAATCAGCTGAAATTGGCATGATTGGAGAAGTGGAGAGAAAACCCCATATTCAATAGACGGCCTATAATACTCAAGAGTTCAGATTGTGATGAGCAGCCACATTGGATGATGCTATCCAATAATTATTTATCTGGCCCTTCAACACAATTATACTCAGGATAAAAAAGAAAAAAAGTTCTCTCCTCACATCAACACTTTTATTTTAACAACTTTATAAGCTGGGCTAGAAAAAGTGCCTGGCACAAGGTCATGCAGTGAGTTGAATGGGAATTTGAACCTAGGGGCAAAATGATTTTTATCCTGATCCTATCAAGATTTATTTAATTCATAACCCAGATTATACCATCAATTTGTTATCGTACTGAGAAAATAAAATGTGATTACCCTGTTTCCCCGAAAATAAGACCTATCTTGAAAATAAGACCTAGTACTATTTTTGGTACTTGCTAAAATATAAGACCTACCCCAAAAATAAGACCTAGCTGTGTTTATTCCCAGGGCCAGTCAGGAACATAAAGAGTCTTTTTAAACTTTATTTTTTAACTTAATGCAGTGTGTGGAGGAAACATGCTTATGAAGCTCTGCTCCCTCCACTCCCTGCAGAGGGAGCAGAGCCGCATAAGCCAATGCTTCCTCTATAGCGCCGGCTCCTGTCACAGGTGGAGTGATACCAAACGCACCAAATGTACATGTATTCATGCTGTTGTACATGAATAAGTGTGGATTGTTGTACACATTATAAAATAAAAAAAATAAGACCTACCCCGAAAATAAGACCTAGTGTGTTTTTGTGAGCCAAAAAGAATATAAGACAGTGTCCTATTTTCGGGGAAATACGATAGTTATTTGCATTAATAATTATAATGTATCCAGGCAAATGAAACCAGATTTCAGCATTTTCTAACATTTTCTGGTTGCACTCCTTATGAATACTTATTCAGGAATCTTAGTGAACACCGTGGGGCTTACTTCCAAATAAGCAGGCATTGGGGTAGGATGCAGGAAATGTCTTCCATCTAAAGAGACTAACTAGAACTCTAATGTGCAGAAATGAATTCCTCATGTTTTACATATTTTACAGAACATACCTGCCTTTGAATATTCAGTAGCTGCACTGTCATAATCTGGTTTCCATTTCAATAATCCAGTTTTCAAACTAAAAGGCAAAATAAGACAAACAATTATTAATAACAATCACACCCTACATCCTTTACAAAGGTAATCCAGCAACTTTCATACCATGGATTGTCCTCAACCCATACACTTATTCCCTAATTTTGCTGATCATGATACATCTGGCCTTTATATCATATGCTTCAGTATCTCACTTTGTCTGCTAAATATAAATAAAATATATGTCTGGTTCAATAAGTTGCTCTTAGAAAGACCACAATTCCTCTATGCATTTCACCAGCGGCACAACATATGCTACTATACATGTCCTGACTTCCTATCATGTTGAACCGATGTTCTTTACCCAACAGCTATTGCCAGTACAGGGCCAGAAGGACTACGGGCATGTGTCTATACCAGGCAGTTTCCATATTTTAAAGAAACAGAATGCAAACTGAATGTGAGATGATTGACAGCCACCTATGAGTCAAACAGCGCAAGGTGTGAAGAAACAATGTTAAGATGTGCCCAAAGCAGCCTTCCCCACCAGGCTTACAGCTTGACCTACAGCTTCCAGAGGCCGCGCCCATGGGCCATGCTAGCGGGTGCCGATGAGAGCTGAAGTCCAAACCACCTAAAGGGCAGCAGGTTAGGGAGGATTGATTACGGAAGAATACGGGAAGAAGCGGAGAGCGAAAAGCCTTGTTTCTGAAGTGGATCGTGCGCCTTAACCCCGAGGACTCCCGCTTCAACCCCGGCCGCAGCTCAAGACTGGCAAGCACGACCCCACCGCCGCCGCCGCGCCCGGCGCCCAAACAAGGCGGGACACCAGCCCCGGCGGGCGCTTCTCCTGCCTAAAAGATTCCAGGCGAGCCCATCGGTTCCCCGGGGACGCGCACAAGGGCCCCCTCTCGGCCAGCTCTGCTCCACGGGGCCGCCGCGGCTCACGGGGAGAAGCAGCGGCGCCGCCGCGGCCCGCCAGCCCACGAATTGGGGCGCAACGGAGGGGCTGGCGAGCGGCTTCTCGCCGCTTCCCCCGCGCGGGCCCCGCCGCAGCCTCCCTCGCTCGCTCACTATTTCTCCGCCTTGGCGATATGCTCCAAGCCTTCGTTGATCTTCTGGGCGGCCATGTCGCCTGACCGGAATCACGGGCGCTCTGAGGCGCGACGTCACCGGAGTACGGAACGCCACCGTGTCCAAACGGACGCGAAGGGAGGCGCCCGACTTCGAGCGCCTGCGCGGAGTGATCTAGACCCCCCCCCCCCCATTCTAGACTAGTTTACCCACCTTAGGGCGCTGCTTCTCGATTCACTGTGCTGCCGTTATCATCCCTCGGCGGTGCTTCTAGAGAAGAAGAGGAAGAAGTCCGGCTACGGGGCAGAGTCGGCTACAAAATCGGTCCCTGGGTTGAGACTGCAAACAACCTAGAATCTTGTGGCATCTTGGAAACCAACTAATTGGTTGTAGCATAGATGTCATTGAACGAACATAATCTATTTGCGTTTGATGAAGTGGTCTAGAGACCGTGGAAGTTCGTGCCGTAATCCTTTCTTCCCGAAACTGGTGTCTTTCCGATGTGTTGGATTCATATTCCCAGCATAACTCAGCAGAGCACGTATTTAGCATCAGTCACTGTCACACTAATCTGTCAGTCACTGTGAACAGGACTGACAGATGGACCAGTGGGCATAAGGCATTTCCTATCCTTCTCTGCTTTGTTGGGAAAAAAAAAATCCTACTCTTCTTAGCATTGGCTGATTGACAGGGATGCTGGGAGCTATCAGACTTTTTCCCATCAAGATAGCCATAAGACTGTGCTCTTAAAAGATTTATTTTTCACAGCATTTTCCAGGCGATGTCACGGGAGCTATAATTTGCACCATCCTGAAGAGAGACACTAATCTAGGTGTAACTTCCAGATTTTATGCAAGAAGGTGTGTCTCCAATTTTAAAAAGGGAATCTATATTCTCACAATTTTTAAAAGCAGTTTTGTGCAGCATTATAGTGGATGTTCAGAAACAGAGAAAGTTGGAGATGTTGGCATAAAAGTTGTACTATGCAAGGAAAATTGACATGACAGCATCAAGGGATAACTAACATTGTCATAGACTAACTTATTAACTCATGATCAGTGTGCACTCATAGCTGAGAAAACAGAACCATTAACGGTTATATGAAAAGAAATAATGAATGGAGGAATTCGGTGGTTTCTTCATAACCAGATTAGTACATAGTTTAGTTATAGACTCATTGAGTGCTTAGGGAAGAATAACTGAATTTAGCCATGATACCAACCCATTGATAGCATCTTGTAGGTTTCCACATTCTCTCCTCCCATCTTTCATAGAATTTCTCTCTCCTTCCTAGTTTTAACTAACTATAGTTTGTTATCATGTTCAAATTAGTAAATTATGATTATCTTTTTGCTTTCCATCCAGACTGTAATTTGAAAATGTGACTTGATGGTGAATTAGCACTAAGCATAGTTTTTCAGTTTGGATATCATGGCAAACTATGGCTAATTGTCCTACCCCCCCCCCCCCCACATGCACACACATACTCACACGCACCAGGAAAGAGAAAGCAATTAAGAAGAAGGTCTATTTCAGACTGTAGAGAGGACCAAAAGTGTGATTTTGGCATTACATGTGTACACTGAATTGATCACTTTTAACTTACAAATATGACTAGTAATAGCCATCTTGGGGAAATTTAATGCATCAACCCTTGATGTAAAGATCATTAAATTCTACACTTATTGCAAGTGTAATATAAACATTTGTGCTGGAAATGAGTGTAGCTATTCAGCAATCAAATATTGCAAAGTGTGGCACAGACTTTTATCTGGAGCATTCAGGTGAAAGCAACAACAATTAAGAAATAAACAGATACAATAATTATTGAAAAGGATTCTCGGGCTAAGCTGCAAAATATAATCATATCTATCTCTTTGATCTCAAATGTTGCACTACACCAAATGTTCCTTTATGCAGAAATCCCATATTGGAATACATTTATGCATTGACATACTTTATATCCTCTGCTACTTTTTATCAGTATACAGCCCCCTCATTCATTGCTAATTAGATGTCCTCAAATCACAAAGGTTCTATTGTGCAAACTTTCCAGATAGATTTTAGGTTCAACTCTTGTAACAAGTGCTGTCAACACTAGAGGGCTGTATCTGAACATGCACTGTACAGTTTCAGAGTAACATTAAATAGGTTGGTCTGAAACCTGTATTCACTGAGAGAGTGACTCACGGTATCTATCCAGAGTCCCCTTACATTTATTGTTAAACACTTAGAAACAGTTGCTTCTAGACTATGTAATCAGATAATCCCCTGAAAGAATGCATAATTTCCTTTCTACCACTCTCACAGTGTAACTATGTTTGTATTTTTGTAATTTTTATTCAGATCTAAGTCCTGCTGTGTTTGATGGAGTTTACTTTAGGTAAATCACGTTTTGTCAGAGTTCTCTGCTATGACCTGTCTGTCTTGGGTGGCCCTGCATGGCATAGCTCATAGCTTCATTGAGCTACGCAAGCCCCTTCGCCACAACAAGGCAGTGATCCACAAAACGTGATCCACTGGAGAAGGAAATGGCAATCCACTCCAGCATCTTTGCCATGAAAACCCCATGGACAGTACCAAAAGGCAAAAAGATATGATGCTGGAAGATGAGCCCCTCAGGTCGGAAGGTGTCCAATATGCTACTGGGGAAGAGCAGAGGGCTCGTACTAGTAGCACCAGAAAGAATGAAGCGACTGGGTCAAAGCCAAAAGGACACTCAGTTGCAGATGTATCGGTGGTGAAAGGAGAATCCGATGCTGCAAAGATCTATCCTCCATAGGAACCTGGAATGTAAGATCCATGAATCAAGGCAAGCTGGATGTGGTCAAACAAGAGATGACAAGACTGAACATTGACATCTTAGAAATCAGTGAACTAAAATGGACAGGAATGGGTGAATTAAATTCAGATGACCATCAGGTCTACTACTGCAGGTAAGAATACCTCAGAAGAAATGGAGTAGCCTTCATAGTCAATAAAAGAGTAGGAAAAGTGGTACTGGGATACAGTCTCCAATATGACAGAATGATCTCAGTTCAAATTCAAGGCAAACCATTCAACATCACAGTAGTCCAAGTCTATGCCCCAACCACTGGTGCTGAAGAGGCTGAAGTTGACCAGTTCTATGAAGGCCTACAACATCTTCTGGAATTAACACCAAAAAATGATGTCCGTATCATCATGGGGGATTGGAATGCTAAAGTAGGAATCCAAAGCATAACGGAAATAATAGGCAAGTTTGGCCTTGGAGTACAAAATGAAGCAGGGCACAGGCTGGTAGAATTTTGTCAAGAGAATACGATGGTCATAGCAAACACTCTTTTCCAACAACCCAAGAAACAACTCTACACATGGACATCACCAGACGGTCAACACAGAAATCAGATTGACTATGTGCTCTGCAGCCAAAGATGGAGAAGCTCTACACCGTCAGTAAAAACTAGACCAGGAGCTGACTGTGGCTCAGATCATGAGCTTCTGGTTGCAAAATTTAGGCTTAAGTTGAAGAAAGTAGGGAAAAGCACTAGGCCACTCAGGTATGACCTACATCATATCCCTGATGAATATACAGTAGAGGTGACAAATAGATGTAAGGAATTAGATCTGATTGACAGAGTGCCTGAAGAATGATGGATGGAGGTTCGCAACATTGTGCAAGAGGTAGCAACTAAAACCATCCCAAAGAAAAAGAAATGCAAGAAAGCAAAATGGCTGTCTGAGGAAGCTTTACAAATAGCTGAGGAAAGAAAGGAAGCAAAAGGCAAGGGAGAAAAGGAAAGATGCACCCAATTGAATGCAGAATTCCAGAGAATAGCTAGACGAGACAAGAATGCTTTCTTAAATGACCAGTGCAAAGAAACATAAGAAAACAATAGAATAAGGAGGACCAGAGATCTCTTAAAGAAAATTGGAAATATGAAGGGAATGTTTCATTTTATTATTTATTAAAA